GCCGGGGCTGCGGCTTCCGAATGCGAAGCTGGCGGCCGGGCCTCCTCCCGGCCCGGGGCCCTCCGCCCTGCTAATCGTCGCCCTCTCCGAACACTGCAGTGGCGTCTCTCTTACTTTGTCCCTTCCCCGGGCGCGAGATCGTCCTTCCGGAGCCATGTCAGAAGGAGTGGACCTCATCGATATCTACGCCGACGAGGAGTTCAATCAGGTGAGGGTTCATCGAGAGCTCTGGGGTCCCTCCATCAGTTACAGCAAACTTGCAGTGGTTTCAACGCTGTGCCACTTCGGGGCTCGAACAGCCATCTATCTCTTCAGGTCTGAAAATTTCCCCCTGGCATCCAAAAAATTCCCCCTAGTGGAGACTTTAAAGACTACTGGCCGTTCTGCTTTATGTTAATTTGAACCTCCAGGCTTAATTTTAAAGGGTTGATTTAAGAGCAAATAAAAATCAAGTGCAATAGAATGGTGAATCAACCTGTGGAATTTGATCCCCCAGGAAGCCTAAGTGGAAATGTCGGTAGCATCAAAGGCAAACCACACTTAATAAAAATCAGAATTACTTTTGTGACGTATTCATGAGGACAGGGTTGATACCCTTTGTTTACTGTTCATCTCTGAGAAGGCAGTGTGCCGCCCCCATAAAAGTGCAGAGACTCAGTCAGACATTTCTAACATTTAGTTTCATTTCCATTCCAAATGTTTTAAATCTAAAGTAGCTTGACTGTGGTCTTCAGAAATTCATGGGCATTTTGGTGTAATAAATTTTATTGATGAATCTTAATGTTATTGGAGGGTGGGGAGAGAGTACAAACTCATAGAAACACAGCAATAGACCAACTTGTATAGCCTAGGTGGGATTTGTTGATGTCCATAGTTTTACTACATCAGACAACATCATACAAAGATTTTTTTCCTGAAAGAATAATATATGAAAAATTAGTTCTGTGATGGAAAGATCAAATCTCAAGAATGTTCCAAGCTCTCTATTTAAAACTTACTAATATGTTACCTGGGTTATTTCCAGCACCATTCTACTTGGGCAAGCTGGTTCTTCCCATTGCATCTTCCAATGGGTGCACGTAAGGATCTGGAAAGAGCGTGAAAAGAATGGACTAGAGGAGAGTTCCCCGGTTGGACCCTGGCTTTGATATGATGCAACAAAGGAGGCTCATACATGTCTTTTCTTTTTTCTTCCCTCTAATTGGCCTAAGTTTACGTTTTAAAAAGCATAAGTATTTGACTTGTAAGTGTTGAGATTTAAAACAACACAGAAGTCAAGTAATGGAATGGAATGGAATGAAATGACCTTGTACCATGCTACAGCTCCGCTAGTTAATCCTTTTTTCTGGCGCTGGGAATTGAATTCACAGCCTTACACATGTTAAGCCCAAGCTCCACCACTGATGCATCCCCAGGCTCTGATTATA